ACACACACACACACACACACACACACACACACACACACACACACACAGTAATCCAATGGACAAAAAGGAGAGGACGTCCTTTTGTGAAGGTGTCTTTACAGTCTGCCGCCCTGGGAGAGAAAAAAGTAAAACTAGACAATGAGAGTGCTCGGCGAGGAGGGGGTGGGACTATTTTCATCCACCCTCGTCTCCCACCTTCGCTCACAAACAGAGCATGAAATGATGGTAATATCAAACACACCCCCCGTTTTATTCCATTCCAGCAGGCCGGCAGATTGGGACTTCTACACCGAGGACGTTCCTGCTCGGTCCTCCGTTACCTTGTTGCCGACTGAGATGGGCCCGCGTGTCCCGCGAGGGTGAGGGAGTGAGGGGCTGAAAAAGAGACCGGTTCACTGTGAGATTCATAGAGGTCTCTCAGACAGCGTCCCGGCCCCGCATCCCGCCTCTCGGGCTCGGCGTGCTTCCACTCTGGTATCCAATCAGACTTCAGGCCCCGGAGGCCGTTAGGAACTCAAGAGGAAGGCCCAAACAGAGAACAAACATTGCCGCATTTGAACTGTTTCCAAGTAACATTTAAAGTATGTATCTCATCAATCCGTGAAAGGATTTTTTCCCCTTTGATTGAAAGTACACTTTACCATATATTCATTTTAGCAATGATATTTAGTTTGTACTAAGACTAAACCCAAAATTATTCACTTTGTTATCATAGATGACAAGGAAAAGCAGCAAATCCCAACATTAGAGAAGCACCATTTTCATGATGTTTTCATCGCTCCTTAAGAGAAAATAAAAGGTCCGTGTCATCGTCCTCCTGGCGATGGCAAATGAATTCAATCATTACCGAACAGTGAAGAGGAAGGAGGACAAGCGCTCCGCATAGAATACCATTTTTTCCCAGAATGACCATGACTGCAGCCGGAGCCCTGCGGCTGTCTGATGCAAGGCGGTGGAAACATTCACAGGTGTCTCTGTGGACCCCCGACTGCGCCGGCAGAGAATCCCCACTGATTACTGATTTATTGTGCGCACCCCGTGCTGCAATATCTTCACCTTTAGTCGTCTTATATATCTTTTTTTTTTTTATTAATGCACAAAAAAAGGATGGAAAAACAAGGCACTGAAGTCATTTTTTCCCTGAGAAATAATTGCTGTCCTTTGCCTTTGTAGGTCAGCTTCATTTGTCCACCGTCTTATTCCCCGGGTCCCCAGCAGGGAAGCCGCATTTGCTGCCGACAGATGACAGAATAGTGCCGCAACCACTTACAGAGACACGCACGCGCGAGTGTGTGTGTGCGTGCAAACAAGAGTCACAATCGTGGGCAACATCACATCCAGTTAAGCAAGAGCGCGTGCGTGTGTGAGGAAGATCGAGCAGGAGCTAACAATCTCATCTCCTGTGGCTAAAAAAAGAAAAACAGAATAATCAAGTGGATGATTGCCGGGGAGACGTGTGAGCTCGTGAAAAAACAAGAAACACAGGAAAGAAAAGTGGAAATATTTGTCCGTCGGACTCCCTTGTGAAGAAACACACGAGAACAACAAATAATCTAAGAGCTGAGAGAGAAAGAAGTCAAAGTCTATTGATTTAGTGCGACTCTTGATGCAGCGGCAAGGCTGAGAATTCTAAGGGAGAACCAGTCGCTCGGCATCAGAGGCCGCAGATCCCATTCATTAAAACCTTCTTTGATTCTTCTGTGTTAACTATTTCAAAGCCACACTTGAAGAAGCTGAATGAGCTTTGGTCTATCACGAGAAATGAAGGGTAACCTGCTCATTTTTGATATAAAACACAACTCTGAATAAGATTTAATGTTCATTGAAGTGTTTTTTGGGTGGCTGAGCGTAACTTAAGTGTGATCTCACCATCTCATTTCTCACAGATTCATTTTTTTAACCAATTTAACCAAATTGTGTGAAAATAACTAAGATTATCTCTTAAGAAAACACTCTTAACGTGGGTCTTCTTTAAAGCGGCCGTGTTCATACCTTGTTGCTGGGGCAGGCTTTGGCTCTGAGGGCAGTTGTAGGGCAGCGGGTTGACGGGGGGCCGGTAGTGCTGCTGCTGGCCGGAGCAGTGTGGGTGGTGGGCCGACGAGCAGTAGCATGCCGACATCTGGAAAGACACGACAAAAGGAAACTCAAGGGCTGTGCGACACTGTTCGAATCCACGTGGAGGATTGGTCTTAAAGCTGCGGGATTAGACGTCCCCCTACCTGCTGGACAGGCTGTTGGATGTAGGCGTGCTGCTGGAGCAGCTGCTGGTTCAGCGCGGACCCCGGGAAAGCGGCGGGGCCCGGCGTGGAGCTGGGGTACACGTGGCTGGGGCCCGGGGTTGGGAGCGGGACGGGCTGACCCTGCAGCAACCCCGGGTGTCCCCCCGACGGCCCCGCCACCATGTAGCTAGCAACCTGCTGGTGCTGCTGCTGTTGCTGCTGTGCTCCCTGCAGCACCATGGGGGAGGCGTGGTGGTGGTGGTGGTACATGGCGGGATAGTGGCGGGCGTCCGCCGCCGAGGCCCCGCCGTTGCTGGGCGGCTGCTGCGCCAGAGTCATGTGACTGAACTGGGCGTTGAGCGCGTCGGGCTGGAGAGAGAGAGAGAGTTTCGGCTACGTGCAAAGACATTTGTTCAATTGACTCTCACTTGGAGGTATAAACAAACGCAGGGAGTCTAAATCTGACCTGGGGTCTGCAGCGACCAAGAGTCCAAAAGTGAGCTATTTATCTCGCGGTGTCACTTCTGACATGTTGTTGGAAAAAAAAGTGGTGTTTTTTTTTTTTTAGCCATGGATTATTCAGAGCCAACATCTGGTGATGAATTAAATATTAATGGAACTTTCCACAGGCGTAATTAGTCGCAGAGGCATGTCTTTCACTAAAACCAGGTCAGAAATGAGGTCAAGTGAATGCATGATCTATATACATGGGTGCCGGCTCCGGCTGGATTCAGATGCACCTTTCCGATGAGAAACACCAACTGAATAGTTGAGCGGCGGCATAATAAAAAGGTGTGCTTTGAAGTTTGAGAGGGCGAGGTAATGCTTGATGTTAGGTACCATTAATAAGACTCGCGTTGAGCCAAACCTCCAGTTATATACAGTGAGAGCTCCGTTGAATGTGGCTACCCAACTGCTTGCCAAATTCACAACTTAAAAACAGAAAAAGATAACTTTGTAAAGCAAATAACAAACGCGTATAGAGCCAGGTCTGACAGGAGGGAGGAGGGGGGAGAATAATAAAATGGAAGAAAGGAGTTCTGTACCACAGTGTACTGTTGGTTAGGACAGACGGGCAGGAACTGAGGAGGAGGAAGAGGAGGAAGAGAATACGAGACCGTTGGGTTGTTAACAGGCTCAGAGGACAGCTGGAGAGGAGGACAGATCGGCTGAGGAAGGAAGGACAGAGGGACGGCGATGAGACAGGAGGAAGGACGCTGGTAAAAATCGGTGGGAGCCTCAACTGACCGTTTGCTAAACTCCTTTTATGTTGTCACTTCTACTTTTGCAAAGGGAAAAGGCCTTTAGGATGAGGCCTGACTGAGGACAGCTTCTGGTGGGAGGGGTTTATCAAACTTAGTGAAGCTCCTACCGTCCTACTATCAGCTCCCAATTCAACACTATTAGTTAGTGAGGTTAGTGGAAGTTAGAAAAAACACTTAACATGAAGTTAATTAGAATGAGTTTGAGGAAATATAGCCCCGCCCACTGACCTGGGAGTGGAGGTGATTGGCCGGCTGCTGCGGGGTTTTGCCCTGCTGTGGGTTCCTGCCAGCGGCGAGGGCCACAGAGGCCGGGTTATAAACTACTGCACTGCCGTCGGGGTGGATGAAAGGCTTGCCTGTCCAATTCAATTCAGAAGAGAGAGAAAATATTAAAAAAATGTGTACACAAACTATTCATCATCACACGGAAGGAAACACTTCAATTCTGCCGGTGGACACGCCTGGACATGGTCCATGAGAGAGGGAGAGGCAGCGGGAGCCGACAACCTTGGCGGCGTTTGAAAATTGCGGCTCAAAAGTCTACAACTGGCCCCACGATGAATATTGACAGATTCCTCCCATCTGTTGGTTGCATTTTGATCAGCATGCTTTGGTGTGGACACTGAAAGACAAACCGAGTGCAGCTCCATGCCAATCTGTGATTCTGTCACCACCTCATGAATAAGTCACGGTGAAACCAGAAAATTACAGGACAGGAGGAAGAAAAATAAGAAGAAAAGAATTCCTGTGCCTTCGTGGGACTTTGTGATTTAGTGGAAGGGAGTTTTGGATATAGAAATCTTCCCCGATCACCCACCTGTGTGCGGGTTGACCAGAACGCTGCCGGGCGGGATCCCTGAGGCCTCCAGCGGCAACACGTAATAGCTGGTGGCGTCTGCGGCCGACTGGGGCTGCGGCGGGACGCTCTTGATCACCTCAGGGCGCCCGGAGCCTCGGGTGTCGGTGGCCGGGTGGATCAAGGGGGCGCTGGGGATGCTGGACCAGGACGGTGCCGAGACCGGGAGAGGCAACTGGGGACGGGACAGTGAGCTGGACGAAGAGCCGACGCTGCTGCACGATTCCGAGCCTGAGGGGAGGAGGGAAAACAACGAGATTATCATCTGCGTCCTCTGCGTTTCCTCAGAATTGAGGAGGAGGAGCATCTCTTGCGGGTAAATGATCGGCCTCAGTCTTGCCTGTCTTGGAGAGCCTCCCGGTGCTCTTGCTGCTGGCCGTGCTGTCCCCCCGCACGAGGGCGGGGGAGATGCCGCTGAAGCTGCTGGCCTTGGTGATGGCGGGCCGCGGGGCAAGCCGGTTGGAGCTGTCCGAGCTGTCGGTGCTGCTCCACGGCCGCGGCTCGCCGTGCCGCGGCTCCGTCTCGGAGCTGCTCTGGCGGCTGGCACCCGACCGGCCGGCCCGTAACCTGATATGAAATGGAAAAAAGCCTTTTTAACCCTTTTAGATTATATTGTGCACCTTTTTAACAATATATTTTAAAAAAATCCAATTCTTTGTATATTTAACATATTTATGTTGCTCCGTATTGCGCCACATTCTAAGTCCGCCCACTTTTTCGCGGTCCAATGAAATGTGAAGGATTTGATTTAAAATCCCTCTTGTAACTGAACCGTTGTTACTACCGTTTCACTGGGGCTTTCTGAAATTTGACCAATCTTTTGCCACAATATTATAAATGGAAAACACAAAACCTAAAGCAGACACCTGCATAAAACTGTTAAAAACAAGAAAGAACGGATGTATTTGTATTTTAAAGACTTGAGATGACTCGAGACTGCACTCCTCTGCAAAGCATGATCAAGAAACGATGCCGTTTCAAAAATAAAACTCATGGTGTAATCGGCGAGCTCTGGGGTTGCAATAGGCTGTCCCACATGGGCAGAAAATCCCATTTAACAGAAGCTTCTTTCCCCGAGCGGCGAAAATACCCCCCCCAAATCCTTAGATCAACACTCCTGTTTCCTGAACAAGCCGATTAAGGCGCAGGGCGATTCAAAGGGCTCTCTCCGCCTGCGGTCGCAGCCATCTGAAAAGGAGCCGAGTGATGTGTGACGGAGGGTGGTGGGTGGTGGTGGTGGGGGGGCGGACCTACCTGAACATTTGCCGCCTCTGTTGGGTGCTCATGCATGCGCCTTCATCCTGAGCGCTGAGGGGAAGGAGAGAGAGAGAGAGAGAGAGAGAGAGAGAGAGAGAGAGAGAGAGA